CAGTACTATTACTATATTCCTTTAACCGTTTCATTTGAGAATTTTAGCACACTAACGACTAAAGCTCAGCCACTACGGGCTGCTGCACGTACTCCTACGTTTTATGGCTTCCTAATAGGTTACTCATGGAATTAGAGCACTGTGGGCTGGGCTAGAAGTTTCTTCGTTTGGCTCTAGCTTATACGGTCGAGGCGCTAGAGGGTATTTGGGCGAAATGAAGCGGAAACATTAAACCCTGCGTGCAACACGAAAGTGGCGGGCCGTAAGGGCATGTTTTTAAGTGTTACACACCAATTTCGCTGGGTGCGATAGTATTATAGGTTCCTCATTGTGACCGCCGCCGTCTTGGTTCCTCATGCTGCACTGTCGTCCGCTCGGCTGGGTGTTTTCTTGAGTCGGTGTCACTAGCGCAGCGTTCCATTGGGAGCGTTCGCGTTTGGCATGTATGCACCGGAGCTTGATGACAAGGATATCTGCTGAACCTGGAAAGTTTTGGCTTTAATTCTACGGTTCATTTTTTTTTTCATTTTTACAAATGTAGAAGGGGGAGAGGGGGTGGCCATGAGTGGGCCATAGAAAACAGTGGCTGGCCTCATGTGGCCACCCTATCAACTTGGCTGTATTACTGTAATTTAACAGGGCGGGAACGGTTGAGAAATTGAGCCAGGACTTAAGACAGTGAGTCTCTGCTAGTGCGGTTGACTCGCTATAAACGGATATGCTTGAAACAGAAAGTGAGAAACGATATGTGGCTTTCGGTTTTGAGTCGCCCGCGTTGCCGTGTGGACCAAATAAATTCTGTACAGGGTTTTGAGGTACGCTGATTTCAATGCTGGTGTCGCTTCACACCACCAGGGTCTTCCTGGGTCTATCGGTAAGGACCTAATGAAATCGGAGATGAGCGAACATGTTCGCAGTCGAACGAACTCGAACGAACTGTTCGTGTTCGTTCGTCTTTGAACACAGGGTGTTCGAATCCGAACTGTTCGTGGACTGACCGAACAATTTTTCGTCGTCGAACAAAACTGTCCCGGTCGACCTTACTCCTAAAGAACCCACCAAGTAAGAAAGAATGAGTACTTTCATATTTCCTCCATCTTCGGTTGCAGGTAGATTGAAAATATTAGGTTTCCTTCTGTACTCATTGTATTTACACCCGTCGCCATTATAACAAACGTGTCTTTTAGTTAGGGTCAAATTTAATATTTTGGTACATTTTGTTTTCTTTTACATAATATGATAGATTTAAATCATTGTTCGTGTTGTTCGCTGGTTTACAAAGGCTCGTTCGGTTCGATTCGTTTGAAGAAAACAACGGTTGTTAGTGTTCGTGTTTGTTCGAAGATTTTTAGACCAATTTTGTTCGAGTTCGTTCGAATTGGAACTGGCCTGTTCGCTATCCACAATAGCGTACCAAAATAATGAGACTGTGAACGGGCACCGATATTGAATTCAAAGTGCTTTAGATTGCACATGTGTTAGGATTGCCGAGCGCGAGGTGTCCGGCCTCCCTAAGTTTAAAGGTCCCGCCATAGGCATACGGCCCGGTGCTGAGCAAAACTGAATGTTCAGCAAAACTACGGAGCTGCACGGCGGCGCCGTGCAGCCTAGCTTTCGTCGTGAACCGCCCGTCCTGCGTGACGGTAACCAAGCGGACTCAGAGCACCTTAACCACTGAACCACCTGTGAGAACCTCCTGTGAATATAAGTGAAGAGTGAAATAAAGTGCATCAACCCTTCTCGGACCGGAGGATTAATTCACTATTGTTTTGATACTAATCCCCATCCCCCCTATTCTATCCCCATAACATGGTGCATTGGCCAAACTGACTGACAAACGGCGAGAAAAAAATGGGCCACAATTGGAAAAATAGAGAGGGAGAGAAGAAAAGAACCGAATACCATCAATCCAATATTTAAGATAATCAGTGCATCATTGTTTGGGACAAGTAAGCATGAGAAGATTGTGAGAAAAATTTTGGCAGCCCATGTGCGCACGAACTGGAAGGAATACTACCCAACTTACGACGAAGTGTGTGCAAAATTATTAAGTGAGCAGATTTCTAAAGGGCACTGTTTATTGGAGTATGCGGCGAGACTTGCCGCTAGTCTCTTCAAGATTAGTTTTGAAATTCAAGAAATTGGCAGAAGGCCTGTGTGTACGGAGGTGAAAACGAAGAGCGGCAAATCAAGATTAAGATAGATGGAGATCGGGAAAACGGTCAAAATTTTGAGTTGTTAGACCCCAGAAAAACCGAAGGAGCAGAAAATAATGTGCAGTGTCCGAGAGATGTGCCCAATACGTCCCAGAGAAATTCGGAATCAAAGATGGCGCCGCCTTACCACATGGGGAGCAGCGTGAGTACCACGGGACGGGGTTGACACCTCCAGTGTGCACGGACGAGGCCCCTAACGAGGCCAGCAATGGCGACCCTCATGGACCCTCAGCGAGGCTTCAACAGCGCGGGCCTCAGGGATGATAAGTAGACTTAAGAGAAAACTGATGAAAGATAAGGTTTAGGATGAATGAATGCGGCATAGTTCAGACAGCGCGTTGAAACTCCAGCAGCCGGGCTGATACCATCATCGTGCGAGCTGCGCGGAGCCGTAATTTGCAAACGTGCAAACACACGAACTGGAGGGTCTACAGCACTGAAACCTTCTCTCCCTTACTCGTAATCATTGTCTTCGTGGCTTAGGAGGGTGGTTATACCTTTGCACTTTCAGAAACTCGCAAATTTAACGAAAATAAAATATGGGTGGTATGAGAAACTTAGCACCAGTTAAGCAGGTCATGTCCGTTCTTCCTAAAGTTTTGTTCTTACCAAGTAGAGCTCCGACACACCTAAGCCACGTAGGAATAAATTATGAGTGCGATACATAAGGTTTCAGTGCTGAAGACCCTACCGTTTGTTCGTTTGAACGTTTGCAAGAGCCGAGACGATGATGGTATCAGCAGCGCGAGTTTCTACCCGCTGGTTCAGAGATGCTGCAATGAGGACTAGGTTTAGTAAGTGCAGTAGGGTTGCAATATGCTGCGTTTTGTTGGAGTAAGAAAGGAAGTGTCGTGATTTTTTTTCTGTTAACAAAAGTATTTTGGTGTACATTTTTTCGGCAGATGTTGGAGAGTTTGGTTTAGATATTCTTCTCTTTGGCTGTAAAGAGAAACTTTTGGCTATGGCATATTTTGGCTTTATGTGTGCCGAAGTGTTACAGTTTTCACATACTTTATCATATGGTTTGCTTTTGCTGGACATTAGCCAAAATTAGGGAGGGCGATGTGAGTTACAGATGTCAAAAATTACCTAAATTTGGAATCTGTTTGATGCTCTTGGGGTTCGTGCTGGTCATCAGGGTGGCCCCGGGAGGCATGCTCTACTTTTCAGCGGCCCTTTGAAAGTAATTTGATCCTGGGGGTAACCACGTACTCCCCTTCTTCTGTCCCTGGGGCCAGCTTGGGTGTACCCAGTCATAAAAATGGGTCAAAATGCATTCCTTGACATTGCGCACACATTTTTCTACAAATTTGCTCTAATCTATTCCTCGCCCTATTTTTAGCAGATGATACATCCAGTATCAATGCTTGTACAACAGCTAGATGGGGGTAGCGTTCACGATGGCCAACGTCCACTATTGTCAACAGTAGTCCTTTTGAGACGATGGTCACCAAGGCCCATAACCCTTTTAAATAACATTATTATTATGAGGAGCGGGGTCAGATGGGTAGCGTTGACGATGGTAAACAATACTGAGCCAAGGCCCAGTATTGTCAACAATAGTAAGCCATGGCCCAGTATTGTGAACAATACTGAGCCAAGGCCTAGTATTGTCAAAAAAACTAATCTAATTATTGTCAACAATCCTGAGCCAAGGCCCAATATTGTCAATAATACTGAGCCAAGGCCAAGTATTGTCAACAAAACTGAGCTAAAGTCCAGTATTGTCAACAATACTGCGCCATAATCCTTTTAAAATAATATTAGTATTAGGAGGAGCGGGGTGAGATGGGTAGCGTTGACGCAGTATTTTTTACATGTTAAAACGTAAGTTCATTAAGGTAAGGCTTAGGTGAAACTGGAAAAGTCGGGCAAAAAACAGTGTTTTTTTTTTTAGTTTTAAATCTTCATTCTAGTGAAATCAAGAAAAAGCTCTCTATATTATTCTAAGTTAGTTTGTCGCGGTTCTTTTAACATATAATAAGTCTATAGTTGGACATAACACTGTGCGCAAGAGCTATATTGAAATTTCATAAAAAAAATTATAACTTCAAAATAGCTCTTACGCACAGTGTTATGTCCAACAAAAGACTTAGTTTGTCGCGGTTCTTTTAACATATAATAAGTCTATAGTTGGACATAACACTGTGCGCAAGAGCTTATGAAATTTCAATATAGCTCTTGCGCACAGTGTTATGTCCAACTATAGACTTATTATATGTTAAAAGAACCGCGACAAACTAACTTAGAATAACATAGAGAGCTTTTTCTTGATTTCACTAGCATGAAGATTTAAAACTTAAAAAACACTGTTTTTTGCCTGACTTTTCCAGTTTCACCCAAGCCTTACCTTAAAAGGTAAGGCACTATCATCTGCTTTCACGTTAGCGCGAGCTTAGGTTTTTTGGTTGACATTGATGTGGGCATGTCCTGAACTAGAAGATCTAGTGTCTGACAATTTTCAAAACAATTTTTTTTTTGATTAAATTTTACTGTTTTGTTAGCAGTGTAGAACTACTTAATAAACAAGCAGGCCCGCCCTTCCGCCAAACCGAGTAGCCAGCTCCACTTCGCTGCGCCGGCAACTCGGTTCGGCAGGGGCCGGGCCTGCTTGGCCTGCCGGCGGCGATGTTCGGGCCTTTGGCCCGACCATTTCAGTCTCGCGATTTACTGAAGTGCATAATCAAATAAATAATGTGACCGGTAAATTACTTTGCATATTTGAGTAAACTAAAGCGTTCGGCGGGGGGCCTGCGGCCCAAGAGATTTGCTCCTTGTAAATGACAAAAGACTGTAACGGGGCAACACCGTGACTACACCCCACCCTTCTGCTTTGCTTAAAAATTACAAAAAAAAATGAACCCGCGCAGTTTTTAGATTGTATATTGTTTGTCAAAGAGTCTTATAACTTGACTTTTTGCCATTGTTTCCAATATATCCACCTCTAGGGCCGAAACAGTAAAAGATACGGCTAATGCGAGGGTATTTCCTGATTCAGAATGTATTGTTTTGGGGGGGTACTTCCTCTGACATTTTACGATTAGACGCCTCCTTGTACGTCTTTATGTGCAACGTGGTCATTTTCGCCGTATTTTTGTCGAAAAAAGCACTCTACCGCCCAAACGGTTCAAGATAGAGTCAAACGGACAAAATTTTCGCCCAGAGGGCTCTACTTTCACGAGTTACCCCTTAGAAGACCATAAAAAAATATTTTTTTTTCTACTTTTTGGACCAACCCCTATTTCTTTGTTACCCCCTTTCACCCCCTTAGGGGTGGTTGCTAGGATTTGCACCAGGCGTTTCGTTGTCCAGGAGTGACCCCTAAAATATCCTGAAATTTGCAGACCTCTAGCTCATCTCCTTCCTCTTACACGGACGACGGACAGACAGACAGACGGACGGACGGACGGACGGACGGACACGAGAGCGGTTGCATAAGCCCGCTTTAATGCTTTTTTAAAAGCAGAAGGGCGGGCTAAAAAATGTCAAAATGCTTCAAATAGTTTGGACATTTCAGGACATGCCAACATGAATATCAATTAAGAAAATTAGGGAGAGGAATGGATCAGAGCAAAATTGTAGAAAAATATATGCGCAATGTTAGGGAATGTACATTGGGCAATTTTTTATTACATAGTACAGCCAAGCTGGCTCCAGGAACAGAAGAAGGAGAGCAAGTAGTCATCCCCAGGGTCAAAATAATTTTTAAAGGGTTACGGAAAAATGGGACATCCTCCCGAGGTCACCCTGCTGACCAACATGGAGCTCTAGTGCAGCCTCTGGAGTATGAGAAATCTTTTACGCAGCCCATATCTATCAAGTTCATATTATTACAGATTTTGCTGATAATTAGGCAAGTTATTGAGGCATTTAGTTCTATTTGCGGTCATGTATGCCTTTACACACTCCTTTCATACGTGTTAGTCATCTTTGCATCATGCTCCCTACTCCTCCGAGAAGTTGGCAGAGTTGTCAAGCAAACAGGAAAGGTAAGAATAGTACACATCATTCTTTTATGCAATATTTTGTTGCGAGGGTCGGTAGGCCATGACGTCCGTTCGACTTCTCGACCGGATGGATCACATTTACTGAATATTGTGTCTGTGTGCGTCCGAACCGACCTATTCGGTCGAGAATTCGGAAGGACGCATGGAGCAACTCAGAAGTGCATAATCGCAGGCTCCGACATCGCAGCCGCGACAGCAGGGGCAGGGTTGTTAATGCAAGGACAAACTCGTTAGCACGCTAACGCCAGTGAATAAGGACGAGTGCCAGTTGCACCACCGAATGTCTTTAACACGTCACACGATTCAGATAATACGGTGACGGCTCTGAGCTCTTTGAGGGGTGCACGGAATGACGGCACGTTCGCAGTTCCAGAAGAGCCGCCCTGGGCGCTGGCGTCGACCGATGCCGGGCGAGGTGAGAAGGGACAGGACGAGCGGGGCACCGCTCTCGTCCCATCTCGCCTCCCCTCGCCGCTTGTGCGCAAATAGGAATCCAAACCCTCAAAGAAGTGCACGACATTCTCCGACTTCTATAAAGAAGGGTAGTGTCTCATGGCTGACTTCTTTTCAAACGGCCCTGAAGGGCCCATCTGCCACATTTTAAAGCTTTATGTGAAACATTCTTAACACGTTGACGACGGACCGACCACATTGTAGTCATGGCCAAATGTCCCAACTGCCGACGTGTCCACAATGTGGGCATTTTTTGTTCAATGTTCAAAGATTTTTACAAAATCAGGGAATTGGCCTAGAGGGCTACTTTCTTCGGCTTTTGGTAGAAGAAACCAGCAAGAATTTCAGGCAATTCCAGGTTACGGTTAGGTGCATCCTTCAGCCCCTACCGCAAGGCGATGTCTACAATGTGGACAGCCCGGCAGCAGGGGCCGGTAGATTTGAGGGAATGCCGGTCGCGTAGGGCTTAAAAAGCGGCGAAAATGCCCTCAATGTTGTCATCCCGGCAGTAGGGGAGGACAGCGGTCCTCGCCATGTCCTCAGTGTGGTCGGCCTGGCACACGGACTGTCAGGACCATGTCCACAATGTGGTCGGCAGCTGGGACCGTCGAAACCCGGCCCACATTGTGGTAGGGCCGGCGAGTAGGACTGGCGAGTCATGTCCACCATGTGGTCAGCTCGGCGGGTGGGATAGCCACTTCATGCCCACAATGTGGTCAGACCGGAAGGAGGGACCGGCATTTCATGAGCACGATGTGGTCAGACCGACAGGTGGGACCAGCGTTTCATAAACGGTCCCTCCTGCCGGTCTGACAACATTGTGGTCATGTATTGCCGGTTCCTCCTGCCGGCCTGCCCACATTGTGGTCACGAGGTACTGGTCCTTTCTGCCGGTATGACCACATTGTGGTCAGTGTTTCGCCGGTCCCAGCTGCTGCGCTGGTCACATTGTGGGCATGACTCCGCCGGTCCCTCCTGCCGGCATGACCACAGCATTATGCGGGGCAACTCTAACCCGGGGTCGAGCTGCCGAGATGGTCACACTGTGGTCATTTCCAAATTAATTCAAAAACGGCCCCGGCAGTTGGGTCTGACAGGGTCAGAGGGCCTCCGTCGTCAACGTGTTAAAAGCACTGGGGAACGCTGAATCTGGCGCTTCTAATCCTTCGGCGCACGCAGGCCCGACCATCGCCACCGGCAGGCCAAGCAGGCCCGGCCCCTGCCGAACGGAGTTGCCGGCGCAGCGAAGTGGAGCTGGCAACTGCGTTTGACGGAAGGGCGGGCCTGCGTGTCGTAGGTTGGAATCCTATCTTCTTAATTACCACCCATTATCAAAGAGTGCCGAAGGGATAAGTAGGGCTTGGATCAGCGTTTCCCAGAGTTGTTATTAACGATATATCACATTCAAATGAAGCCATAACGATTACTATCGGAACCCACTATCGGTGAGGTCGGAATCGCAGCAGTCCAAAGCAAAGAAATTCAATGTCTGGACGAATCATCTTCAAAATACGTTCGCGTTGTATTTGATTGGCAGGTTGGTGATGCAGCAGCGATGCATGTACAGCTAGTTCTTGGCTGTTCCCGTATGAATGCTGCATTCGGCGTCTATCTTCCGCACATCGCTGTGGTAAAAACTATTTTACTGTAAAAAATCTATAACTAACGCATGCTAGATTCTTAGGGGGCATCTTCTAGCGCTAGCCCCAGTCAGGGAGAGTGGAGCCTTGTGCAAATGAGAACTAGACGGTATTCCCTATCCGTCATTGGTCCTTGCCAATAAAATGAGCTGTGTACCTCTCGCGTCGACAGCTGGGATTGAAGTAAAGTAAATTAATAGATAGTGGATTAAGAAAAATATCTTTAATTTAATACCTCGATAATGTGTGAGCAGGTACAGTTTTTGGTTTCCATTTATATTGTTAAAAACGGGCTATTAAAATATAACAAGTCTCTTAGGTTGTCCCCTCAAAAGGTCGATATGCCAGTTCGCCTCTGAAATGAAAGTAGAGGTCCTTCCGATCACAACAAGCACCCACAGATTCCCTTAATTCAATGGTGAATTTCATCTTGTGTCAGCTTGCACTTAAATCAAGAAACTATTTTTGGCTGAGCTTGCGAAGCCTTTGCTGTGATGTGGGGTGCAGAGAACTCTTTGGTCGTGTGTCTGTCTGTCTGTACTGGCCTACGTTTCTCTCAGACGGTAACTTCAATTGACTTCAAACTGCGCACGAAGCTTCAGTATAAGTCGTGAAACCAAGTATCGTTGCGCGACTGTAGTGAAACCACGTAACGCATTTTTGACGATTTATAGGAACCCTATATTTCAAAAGAGGGAAAATTTCTCTATCGAATGGTATAGGTTTCAAAAATTACCCAAAAATGGAGATACGTGGACTCACTAGAGTCGCGCAACGATACTTGGTTTCACGAGCGTCACGCAAAGATACTTGGTTTCTCTAGAGGCACTGCGCCGTGCGTGCTTTGAGTTAGGTACGAGCGAGGTGACATGACAGTTATAAAGAGAAAGTAAATAAAAGTGACAAAACCGTGCATTCACTGTGAAAAAAAGTCGTGGGGGTCACGGAAAAAATTTCCATGACAATTGTTGTACTTTTACGGGTCACGTTTGAAATTTTTAAACACGTAAAAGTGGTAATTGGCTATTATAAAAAAGGCGTAAGATTCTAATACTAACTCATCGTTTCACAGATGCATTTCATAAATTTGCAATACGAAACCTTCAAATTCGCCAGTCCAAGACCTACAACATTCCTCGTGAATTTACGATATTTCTTCTAAATTTACGATATTTTCCGTACGTTTACGACATTTCTTGTAACTTCATGGAAATTTTCGCATTCTTACGGAGGTAATGTCGTAACTTTATGCTAAACTTCGTACTTTTCTGGAAAATGTCATAACTTACCTACTAACAAATTTCGTAAATAGTTTCTATTTATGCGATTCGTAATTTTATGACTTTTTTCGTTGCCTTGTGAAAAATGTTGTATTCTTACAACAAAGAATCATAAATAGAAATTGCAAAATTTGTTGTAAATTCATTTCTTATAAATTGTAACGTTACAAATATCGTAATCATAATTTTTAAAATATGTCGTAAATTCACGAACATTTTTTTCACAGTGATTAGAGCAATATGCATCTTATTTTTGAAATTACCCCTACAACACTGCACAAAATGATGAAGTGACAAACGTTTTGTGATTCGTTTTGTCATAAGTTTCTAATCGGCTAGACATATTTTCAAGCTGGCCAATGCGTTAGATAATTTTATACCTATCACCTGCTATAGTTGTCAATTTTGAGTATTGAGTCTATTAGTTTTTAATGTATTTATTCATTTTGCTAGGCCCCGTCTGTGATCCCTTTGCTGAGCACCGTAACGATCATCATGTCTGCCGAGAAGGCTGATATGTACGTTGCTGGATCCTTTCCTGCTGTCCTGTTCTATTTAGCGCCTTTGTGCGAGGTTGGGGACATGCTAGTGGCTGGCAGCGACACCTTTTGTTTCAGTGCCTACTGTGTAAGTGACTCGTTGACGCGCATAATGTTGGCCACCCAACATTTGTTGGCCAACCCAACAAAAAAAAGAAAAAGTTAGCCAACAAAAAAAAAACAAAAACGCTTAAAAAATAAAAATGAGGGTACCGCTGGATTCGTCTTGTTGAGTACTTTCCATTTCAGGTGTCGGATGAATTTTAACCGGCAAGATTCGGTTGTTGGCAGCGGTTTTTCACCAAATTACACTTTTTTGGGGCTTATTAGCCATTTAGGCCCCAATGCTGCCGGTTAAAATTCATCCGACATCTGAAATAGATAGTACTCATCAAGACGAATCCAGCGGTACCCTCATTTCAATTTTAACCGGCAAGGTTCGGTTGTTGGCAGCGGTTTTTCGCCAAATTACACTTTTGGGGGGCTTACTAGCCATTTAGGCCCCAATACTGCCGGTTAAAATTCATCCGACACCTGAAATGGATAGTACTCATCAAGACGAATCCAGCGGTACCCTCATCTTTATTTTTTAAACTTTTTTTTTTGTTGGCCAACTTTTTCTTTTTTTTGTTGGGTTGGCCAACAAATGTTGGGTTGGCCAACATTATGCACGTACTCGTGTGTTGACCTTTAACACTGATAATTAACGTGTTCAACTGGCGTGCACATGCACGTGCTCAACACTATGTTTCAGACTTTTACGTGTTTGACCAAATATTTGACTACTTGGAAGTGTTCAACAGTAAATTTGAACACTTTAATGTGTCCAAAGCTTTATTGCGAACTGTGATGTTGAACACTTTGAAGTGTTCAACTTTACTGTTAAACACTTTACAGTATTCAAATACCCAGTCAAACACTTGGTTGGTTTGAGTTATTTTTACAGTGAACTTTCTTTTTTGCTACAATCCCATCTAGAAACTGAAAAAGAACTTTTAGGAAATCATGGGATTTTTGGACTAGGCAAATGCGAACATGGCCGTACGCTTTTATAAATGCGTACATGACCATATACACTTTTATATCAATGTATACAGACCCATACCCATGTATACATACCGAAGTACGCATTTATAAAAGCGTACATGACATGTACGTGTACACATGAAAAAGGATATACACTACTCATCAAAATTAGCGGGCGGATTTTTCAAACTGACGTAGATTCTATGTTTTCTGAGCAAGGAAGCTGAGACCTGTCATGCAGGCGTCCCAATCATTTATCTCGAGGCTCAGGAAAAGCGCAGGCCGTTGGCCGGCCCTAACGAGCTGTGCACCCCTAGAGTGGAGGAGGGTGAAAAAACCGGCCACAACAACTCCAAAATTGGCACTTTAAGTACTCGGAAAATCAAGATTGTCCGTGAGTAGACCCAAATTTTTGGTCTCTTTCGAACGGTGAAAGCGAAATTGCGATCGGACCAACCCACACCCATCCACACTCACCCCTACCCCCTCGAAGGGGTGAGTTTTGAGGTTCGTCAAATCGAGCTCGATATCCTCTGGGGACGTCCCCTGTACACGGCCCATTCGAATCGGACAACCCCCGGCCAAACCACCCCCGCAAACACGCAACCCCTTTTTGAATAACGGTCATTTTGGAACCTGAGGGTTGAAGTCAAGGTTGAAGGTATACCATTTTCTTAAATTCATTAGCTTTGTCTGGAGTCACATTTTGATTAATGAAGTCCAATAAAATGGTGGGAGCATTTAAATTAAACTCTATGATACGATACCGAGGGGTGGATAACTCCTGAATTAGGTGTACAAATTTCAAAAATTGAATTTGAATTAGCTTGAATTGGCTTGAATTGAATTTGAATTGGACTGAATTGGTTGAATTGTTTTTGAATTGGTTTGAATTATTGTGATTTTATTCTACTGAATTAGCGTGAATTGGCTTGAATTGGACTGAATTAGTTGAATTACTTTTGAATTAGTTTGAATAAGATTGAATTGGTCTGAATTAGTTTGAATTGGGCAGAATTAGAGGTGTACATTTGGCAGGGGAGTTATCCACCCCTCGTACGATACATTATAGAACTTTCAATTAAATAAACTTCATCGACTCGTGATCCTTCAAATGCCTCGGAGAGATCTGATAAAAATGAATAAAAGAGCGTAAAGTTATACTTGTCGTAGGAGAAAAGTTAAAATGTATTTTGAAATTAAATTAAATATTAGGGTATTTAATTTTACTTCAACCAGAGGCAATCCAATATAATTTCACCTTCAAAAATGATTGGAATGGAATGAAATGGGAGCATCATGCTTCATATGGCATTACACAAAAGGATAAATTAAGTAGGGGGAGGGCAGTGGGGATAGGAAGGGACAGAAGCAGACATGTTCTGTAGGTGAACTGCAGGACCGCATAAACTTAAGCCCCCCCCCCCAATCTGTGGTAGGCCAGGGTTTAAGGAAAAAATTTCTCATAGATTCACAAGGACAAAGAGTAATCCAGACAATATTGAGGATGTTTACGATGGAA